TTTTTTTTTTTTTTTTTTTTTTTTTTTGGCAATGAACTGTATCTGATACATTTTTCTCCCTTCCTCCACCTGAAAGAGATGTAGTGATGTTTTACAGTCCAGCCTAAGCGACACAGCAGATAAATGCAAGAACCTTCCACCTGAATTTAGAGCAGAAACAAAAGAGAAAATTGCCAGCTGCTTCTCTGGTGTGGGATATAAAGTTTGAGACAGGTACTTAGTGTCATAACTGGTAACATGTAGAAAACTCCAGAGCAATTTTCTTTTCAAATTTCTGCCATGGCTAGGACTTGATTTGCGATACATTTGGTTATCATGCAAAGTACTATAAAAATCTAAAAACTAAAACTTAAAAAATAGAAAATAAAAAAAAAACCCAACCACAAAAAATGGAACTTAGGGTCATGCATTAGCACCTGTCCCTTACACTGGCATCAAATCCACTGTCAAGTGTAAAAAGGAACATCTTTATTCAGGAAAACAGCAATGAAAATATAGCAGGTTTGAAACAAGGGAAATATGATTTGGTGATTTAATAATCACCAAATCTTAGTATTGGATTTGCTTTGGTTTGGGTTTTTGTTTTTTTTTTCCTAAGAGGTGATTGCTCAAAGTACTGTTGCACTCTATCTCTTTAACACTGTTTAGCCTCTGGAGAAGGAAAACTGTGTCAGTGTTCAAATTCTAGAGGTTTCTTCCTTTTGCACTTCCTTGAATTAAGTTTTTCTCTTATTTTTTTTTCCTTGAACACCACTACTGGCGTATGTTGCTACGTGAGTTTAGAATTTTACCTTTTTAGCCATTGTCGATGAATATGGACCGTGAAATACAGCCTGTCATTTGATATTGGCTCCACCATTATTGTACTGATGGCACACCTACTGGAATAAGAAAGAAAATGTTTTGTCCAGCAGAAGTACATCATCGCACCGAAGATCCCTGGCAGCGAATACTTCAGCTCATGCAGGAAATAACCAACTAGAATCATTAAAGGTTTGACAATCTCTATGACTCCTGAATGAACGCTTTGAACTCCATGTGCTGGTGCCAATGCTTCATAAACCATGTCATCAAACAGCTATAGAAGATTTATCTGATTTTATAAAAAGACCTTTCTCCTCAGATTTTTAAATTTTGCAGAATCTTTTGGGAATTCCAGATCCAAAGAAGGGCATGCACGGTTGGCTTTTTGATTTTTTCCTCCACACAGATGGCACTATGGGATTTCCAACTAGATTATGCCATTCCAGTTATTATTTTTTTTCCCAGAAAACTGGACATTGTCAGAGATCTTTAGATTCAGATTTATTTATTTTTTCCATGCTGACAGCTGGCAGCTGCGGTGTGACTCTGTGTGAGACCTCATTTCTTTCAGTCAGGTTTGGGTTGGTAAATTTTTCTGGGAGCTTAACTTCTAACTATTTTTTTTTAATCTACAATATTTTTCATTGTAACTGAGTATTAAACATTATTGTCTGACTTACAGGAGAACACAGGTTCAGATAATGGGAGTTTACAAAGAACAGTATTTCAGAACAAACTTTTTGTTGTGAAATTTCACTTCTCAGGGTGCATCTGTGTTTATCTCCTTTTTTTTTTTCTTAGAGATTCTTCTTGTTTGTTTTTCACTGTAAATAGAATGGGATGCGGATGAAGTGATAGCCATTGTGCCTTCAAACTGGTAAACTTGGTAAATAATACAGTTTCACTGCTACAGTGTCACTGAATCAAATAAGTGTTTTTGTAATCATATATGTGTAAAGGATTTCATTCTCTATTGCTTTTTAGGTAGTATAAAGGAGGTTTAAGTTGACAGTTTGTTCATACTGAAGGACTTTTTTGCTTACGTTATGACTTCTGTTTGAAATTGGTTTTGTCAGGAATCCTCTGTTGTCACTTGAAAGATAAACTGAAGTCTGCTTTTTATTTGGACTATTTAAAACTTAGCTATTACTAACACAATTCAGATAGCTGAGAAATAATTGGGAGAGACTTCCATCTATAGTAGTTAGACTTTAACTTTCAATCAGCGGGTAAGAAGCAATTTTAGCTATGGCTTTATAGGTCCAAGAAGTCTTCCAGCAAAGAGAGGATAGACCAGACTCGATGTATCTAATATTTACAGGATAAAGAAAATAACATGCTTTCCTTATACATCACAAAGAAGGAAGAATGGATCACTGTCTTTTTAGTTCTGCTATTTTAGACTTAACGTGTGTATATCTATTTATACATGTATGTATAAATTATGTATGTGCACATAAGTTTGTGTGTGTATATATGAGAATCTTTTGTATGTGTGTACATACTTACGCATATTTGTCTAAATCTCGCAACTTTTCCTGTAGGAATTACTTTTGTGAAGTGAACGTAATAGCAAAAGGTGTATCACGGCAGTTGTGTTTTCAGCTGGTGTTTTACTGTTCCTCTCCACCCGTGCAGCAGGAAAAGCCTGGGCAGGAGGTGTGCTGGATTTCCTCTGTTGCTTTGCCCAAGTGCCTTTTGGTTTGTCGACACGTGAAAGGAGTTACAGGGTATGGCAGCGTGTGAATGCAAAGTCCCATAACTACTGTGGACTGTCTCCTTGTGAAGCAGTCATATCGAGGGAAATTTATTCCAGTTTCATTTAACACAAAATAAATGATGGCAATTCCTCAGTTGGAGGAATTTAGCTATTCTGGAATTGGGTCGTCATCTCCAACACTAGACCATCCCTCAATCATGTTATCTAAATTCTGCTTTTAAGGATATTCCTCTTTTTTAATCATGTAGTTTGATCCTGTCTGTCTTTCTGAGGCGTTGTAGAAGACGTGCTTTGGCAAGAGATGTTAAAAAAACATTGCTAACATGTCCAAAAAAAGAGTCTTGCTCTGAAGTGCTCCTGTTCTGAACTTAAAGGGGGCTTCCGTACTGTCTGTACAAAATAGGTGTGGGATGGCATGTAGGTAGAAATGTCATTCTTTTGGTCACATTAAAAATTAATATGATAATTTTAGCATTTAAAGCATCTTCCCAACTCTTGAAGGCTTCAATTCAATAGTGTACTTGGATAATCCTGAGCTGCCTGGCTAGATACCTGGATGGAAATGGATGGGGTTTCTGGTGTTTAAATTACGCACATGATTAAGTACATTAGTGAGCAGGACTTGTATGGAAGAGCAGTTTCGCATAGGAGTGTGGACCTTAAAATCCCCGTGCACTTGGAGGTCCAAAAAAAAAAACCCCAAAACAAACCCCTTGTATTTACTGCCTGATTCTTTCTTGGGGCTGTCACGCCAGCTTTTCCAGATACAAGATGTCCAGTGATCGTGGTACACAGTGGGTAGAATTCATCTCACTGAATGGTAGCTCTCTGAAAGTTAGACATGTAGTTTAAGGGAGGAATCTGGGCACCTCTAGAGAGCTATTTATCTCCTCCTAAGATAGATATTTCAGGAAAGCAGAATGAATCATTTTCTGGAGATCCTCTCGGGAGACTGTGTAAGCTGTGATTTAGCTCAGGTTAGATATTTGGCTTTAGAATACTAAACTGAGACTCATTTCATCCAGTGTTGTCCTACCTATCTTGGAATAGCAAAAAACAAGACAGGAATGACATCCATCCCCAGACGTCAAAACCCTCCAAAATCCATCCAGAAAGAAACAAATTAAAGAGATGCTGACAACTTGAAAAGTCAGTGTTTTAAATGCCAGGATCTACTTCTGCCCCCAAGTCTCTTGCGAATGCTGGTGATGTCTTTTTTTATTTTTTAATTTTTTTGGTGAAAATGCATCCCCTTTCTCTGTTCTGAAATCTCATGTACCTGGCTATATGTATAGTTCTGTAAATGCATGACATTAAGAGGAAAATGTAATTAATGTATTGCAGCTATTTTGATAATCTTTTGTATTGCTATAATTAAGACTATGACTAGTTTAACTGCTCTCCTGTCATCAGAAATGTTACCCACTGTGCATTTGCAAAAATTATGTGTTTAGTCCTGGTTCTGACTGTGTGTACTTATTGCATCTTACAGGATATGTTTCCCACGTCACATCTGCAGGACTAAGACATTTACAAAAACTAGACAAAATGTAGCATTTTATTATATGGAGTATGGGGGTGACTTTCTATATAGATTTACATGTTCATTAATACTCTTTTGCAATGATTCTGTAAGTTGTAGCTTTTGAGATTACTAGGCTAGAAATTCCAGGTTTAATGCATCTGTACACCCTGTGTTAGACACAGTCAACATTTATCCCAAATGGAGGCATTTGTCCTTCACCAAGATGGTGATTTCTGTGATTTTTTAGATTTCTGGCTTGATAATGAAATCCAGGAAGGGCTGTTTGTTAAATATTACCAGGAGTGGGACAGGTTGTGAGAACTGACATGAGGAAGGGCTGAGGCACGAGTGGTGTGTGTTACAGATCCTCTTCATCGGCAAAGAAGGGCCTCGGCAAGAGGTGGCTTTTTTAAGAAGAATCAGCCTCAGCAGTAGCAGGCAGTGGTGAGATTTTCCTTTTCAGCTAATGGACTAAGTATTGTTATTATTGAGTTATGTAGCTGTAGTTTCGCCCTGTCTTGTTTTCACTTAAGAATGATAAATGGCACAGTTAGGACAGACAAAGTTAGGATCCTTTGTGAGGAATGCAGTTTTTCTCTTGCATGTTCTGTTCCCCTTTTCTAAAAACAAACAAATAAAAAAGCCTCAACTACTTGAAAGCCCTCTCTTTTTCCTTGGATACTGAAGAAATGCAAATGTCAAGAAAGTTGAGAAGAGAAACAAAGGAGACTTATCCAGATTTATCTGGAAACTCATGAAAGGGTGGCCAGAGCTATTTATAGACGTGAGAAAGTAAGTGCATCTTTCTAGACCAGCTGTTTTCTTTCCCAGAAATTTAGTTTCCCGTATAATTTCACATGCTCATACTTTGAAATCAAGAATTAGTGTTTAGATGCTCTTAATATTGACCTTTCATGTACATACCTGCGCGGTAATTCCGGATGTCTCCTTCTCTCATTTTTATGAACTACATAAAAAATATTATTTCTTCACCTACTGCTGCCCATCTGCATTTTTTGGTCCTTTTTTTGAAGACAAACAAACTGTGGTTTTGAGGTAAAAACAGTAAAGAGAAGGCTGAAGGGAAACCTTATCAATGTGTAGGAATACCTGAAGAAGGGGAGTGGTGAAGAAGAGGGAGGCAGATTCTTCTCAGTGATGTCCACGGACGGGACAAGAGGCAAATGGGCACAAACTGAAACACAGGAGACTCCATCTGACCAGAGGAAGACACATTTTATGGTGAGGATGACCAAAAGAGCCTGTGGAGTCTCCATCCTTGGACATACTCAAAAGCTGTCTGGGCGTGGGCCTGGGCAACCAGCTCTAGGTGGCCCTCCTTGATCCAGGGGGCTAGACCAGGTAACCTCCAGGGGCCCCTTCCAACCTCAGCCATTCTGTGACTTGCCTTTTGGTTCTTCTGTTTGCTGAAGACGATAGGGAGGAGAAATGAAATGGTACCTATCTTAAGAAACTTGCAGTGTCACAAGAATCTTGTTCATTTATTCATTTTGTTTCTTTTTTTTAAGGGAAATTCTATTTTTCTTGGTTGAGGTTAGTAGGAAAATCTGAACGTAACTTATTAAAATTTTGCTAGTGTTTTCAACATACAGTTCTGTGATGCACAGAGCACATGTAGTTAGTTTCCAGGAGTATTATTGTCACTCTGAAGTCTGAAAGTCAGGCCAAGGACTGAGATAAATATCCCTGTTCTTGGGTATTGACAGTAGTTTGTGTTTAGAAACTGAGTTACCTGAGTTCCTATATTAGGAAAAGTTTAGTTTGCATATTTTTAGTATTTGTTTACACAGATTTTATAAAAAATTTGGATTACCATGGTTTAGGTGCCAGTTGTTTCTGCTTACTTGATTGGAAGCTGGGTATAGTGGTTAGCTGTTCAGAGTGTCAAAAAACGAAAATTTGAGTTCAGATGAAAAAGAGGACAAAGTTTATGAAACACTGAACTGGCTGAGCATTTTAGGGAGATACTGTGTATAATTGTGATGAATGACCATCTTTTGTGCACTATTTCCCATTATGCCCTTGTCAGGAGCGGTTGGACAGTGCAGTCAGTCCTTTGCTTGGCATCAGGAGATGGGTTCTATCAGACCTTGGTCTTTTCAGATTTAGTTTCTTCAGGGGGGCGCCGCAGGTTTCTGCACATACACACTCTTCAGAAGCTAATAGAGGCAAATTAAAATAGTTGGTTTGGTTGTGATTTGGAAACCAATGGCTAGTCTATGTTTGGAGTAATTTTGGAATAGTTGCTGAAAATTAATTACAGTAACCAGAAACTGGTGTGTTTGTGAGGGTGGGAGGGCATGCACTTTGAGATTTAACTGTTGTATACAAACAAGTCCTAATCACCAGCTGTCCCTTGAGGCATCTTAACAAGATCAAGGTGATGGTCTCACTCTCGTTCTTCCTGGTGAGCACAAAGCCACTGCAGCTCTTGAGAGAGCCTTTGGCTTCTGGGTTCATCTCCTTACCAGGCAGGCAGTGGAGCTGGGGTGTGCTGAGACTGGCCTGGTCTCTCGTGTGCATGAATTTTCCGGGGAAATTTCCTGCTCCCATTTATTCTTATGTGCAGACGAGAAGGAATGGCATCTCCAAATTTAAATCTTCAAATTTAAATACCTGAACCCAGCACCTGATTTAATTTAAAAATAAGACTTCTCCCTGCACTGCCTCAAATAACCAGCAATAAAATACTTGCACTGTATTTATGATTTAAGAGCATGCTACATTTTCTGCCACAACAGTTTGAGTAGTGTTACAACGCACTCCTGCTGTGTTACCTTTTAAAGGGACTAATTTTTATAGAAGGTGGAAGAGCAGCGATAGAGGGAACGGTTCCGGACACTATCTGTAAATTGCTCTGCTATGCCAGTAACCACCAGAAGCAAGTTATGCCTTTTTTTTAATAACAAGTTGAGAAGGACAAAAGGGATAATTGCCTCTAAGCACATTTGCAGTAGCTGGAGGATATTTGTATTGTCTAGTTTCAAATATCTAGGGTAGGTACTAAAGTTAGGAAAATAGTATCATGTGATCCCTTCGCTCTGGAGAGAGAGGTTCCTCCACAAGGTGATTCAGACCAGATCAGTCTTAAACTGTGGTCCTGAATTGACCTCTGGAGGAGCTGAGGTCCACGCAGGCCATGTAAAACTTCTGTGGGAGACTTCAGCTTCCTGAGCTGTGCGTGCTCTCCTGCCACGTGTGGATTCAGAGTGAGGTGCTCCCTCTTAGCCCCCTCACTTCTCTTGCTTCCATCACAGGACACCGCTTTCTTTCCTGTGTTGGTTGGACTGTATCTGATTGCTCCCTATAAAATGTCTTGGCTAAAAATAGAAAACTTCTTGTTTTCTAATAGCTGAGTGTTTAAAACTACCTTTTTTTTTTTTTTCCTTACAAGTTGGGCATTAAAACCTGAAGAAGAAAGGGGACAATAAACTCCAGTGAAAAGAATAACAAGCAGCAGATGGGAGCACGTTAGTTGTGTGATATTATTAATTTTAACTAGCAGAAATGAGGACAGCCACTTTCGATGGTGTTCCAATGCTCCTTAACTTTTAGATCCTGTCACTACTGCATCCAAAAGGTGTCCAAACTGAGGTGGTTTATTTTCCCCTCATAATGGTGGTTCAAGCCCTAAAGTACAAAATGCTGCTGTGAACATCTGAGAACATGCCAACTGGCTTCAATAAATTTCCTAACTAAGGTCTCAAAGGAGAAACAAGACGTTGGAGGTGTAGATTAGAAAGGCAAAGAAGAGCACATTTAAAGCATGGTGGAGCCAGTGGTTGGCAAAAGCAAAAGTGGGAGGTGAGGACAGTGATTCATGGATGTGTATTTCTTGGCTGTTTCCTGATGTTAAGCTACATTGTCCCACAAAGTTAATGTCTGCTGCTTTGTACCCTTTCAGTCCTAAATATGGAAGCATAGAATGGTTTGGGTTGGAAGGGACCTTAAAGATCATCGAGTTCCAACCCCCCTGCCCTGGGCAGGGACACCTCCCACTAGACCAGGTTGCTCCAAGCCCCATCCAGCCTGGCCTTGAACCCCTCCAGGGATGGGGCATCCACAGTCTCTCTGGGAAACCTGTCCCAGTGTCTCACCATGCTCTCAGTAAAGAATATAGTCAATGTTCCAAAGGCTGTGTCAGTGTGTGCAATCTCAGGTCTCAGATCTGTTCCCTGTGCTGTCATTCCATGTGGTACACATTCAGCATTAACCCCATTTTTCATTCTATGCTCCTCTTCATGTGTTAGCAGTGTTTCCCTTAGTATCTTCTGTATATTTGTTTTTAATATTCCCCTCTGAGGCTTGTGCATTCTTTTTATACTTATGCAAATACTTGATTACATTTCAAAATAATGTTGTTTTCCCCCTCTCGGTGTTCTGCTCGACCAGTAGTAAACGGGAGGTAAGTTATTAGAGTATTGCTCCTGTTGAGGTGCCACCACCGTGTCTCCTCTCTCTGTGTGAGCCCAGAGGTCTCTGTGCAGGAGCAGACCTGGCTCCTCCTCGACTGAACACCTTCCACTCCTACCACTTAAAAGGTGTTTGTGGTATAAGGCGAGGGTTTGGCTGAACCGATGTAGAACAGAGATGTTAGCCCCACATTTATAAATGATTGAGTTTATTACTGCTGACTCCAAGATACTTTCATTTTGTCTTAAAAAATTAATTACTTATTTACTCGCCAGTTATTTCCATTTAGTAAATTAAGCCTGTTTTACTCTGACGCATCGGCTCATTTAAAATGTCATAATACTGTGTTGAACCATTTTATTCGGGTTACTGCCAGTGTAAAGAAGTTGGAATTAATGTCCTCACTGGGTTGTCAGTGTCTGCTAATTCAGAGATGACAGAAATGTGTTAAAATGTATTCAACCTATAATATTTATCTTGCTTTGCACTTATTTTGTTTCCCTTTGACTGTGTTGCAAAATACCAAGTGTACATAAAATAATGAATAAATAAACCAAAAATAAATTATTTGTCTACATTCATTGACCTTTTGGGCATTCATTTTTAAAAACGGTGAAATAAAACACAAAATGCGATGCATTCAGAGAAACAGTTCGGGCGTATTTTTATCACTGTTAGTTTTGAAATAAGTTACCCTGGATGTTTGTAGAGACGAATTTGTGAGCTTATTTATTTATCAGGAAGGAGTGGTATTGTTTACTGTTTCGCTTGCTGCAGCCCTACGGAAGCCCATGGAGGTAGGTGCATTACCCAAAATAAATGTTTGGCTGCCTGAAATGGTGTAGGAGACAACAGATGGGTACAGGCAGACGGGATGTAGAGGGGAATATGGAGACTGTGATGTACCAAGAAAGACCTCCAAGAAAAAAATAAAATAATAATTATTGCGTTTCTTTCAAGAATTATTTCCTACACTAACACAAATTCTGTTACCGTAAGGTGTATCGTAATCCCTTTAACGTACAGGTAGTGATGCAGTTACGTTTAAATGTTGTGGAACTTAAGTCATAGGAGAAGCTCTACGTTTAGCAAAGATCTGCAGCTTTGGGAATGGGAACCAGGAGGAGACATGGAATTTGTTGGGCCCCTCTTGTTCAGAACAAGCCAAGGACCTAATTGGAAACGAGTCACTGCTTTGCTAGGCTTTGTCCTCCTTTTTTTCACTAATTATCTGAACAGTTTGATTATTGGTTGAGAGTTAGTTACCATATCAGTATTGGTGTTGAGCAGTGCCTGTTTTCTTCCTAGGTAGAATTTATTAAGTGTTAGATTCACCTGATACTGTTAATTCCTCAAGACAACGCTCCTGCTCAAACAGATCCAAAGCCTTGAGTTGTTGGATTTCAGGATTTCCGGACTTTAATGCCCGGGAGTCTCTAATGCACTTTATTACATTATTATTTGGCAGGAGCACGTTATTATTTGGGGAGGTGAAAGCGGTTGCACGTTCTCAGCACTCGTGTAGTTTTACATGTGATACGTCCAGAGGGAGGGAGGAAAGTTTAGTCTTCTGTCAAAACATTCAAAAATGTGAACTTATCTCTGTTGCTTTAAGATGGGACTGGCGATCTTCATTGAATTTAACCAGAAGACTGGAGATCTGACACCAGGCGTGCTGCAGTTGTTTATTCCCTGCTAATATCAGTGTCATCGTATACAATGCAGGGGTTTATTGTTACAAATAGATTTTAACGTAATGCTTTCCCTCAGGGTTTTGAAGAGCCAGCCTAAAAATGCCCCAACGCGCAGCGGCCGGGCAGTTCTGAACTGTGAAATATCCTTAGGAGTTAAAAATAAGTGCAGCAGCGTTTTTTTAACAAGGTCTTGCCCATCTCTCTGGATAAAAATGCCCAAATGATTTAAGTTCAAACTTCAGTGCCATTGGACCCCAGTGATACATTCCACGAAGTTCCTTTGTCAGAAGGATAAATTGTGCTTAGAATTAGCCTCGTTAACTGGCTACAAGCTCAGGGCTTGAATAAAGTCCACCGTGGGGAAATAAATAAAAAAGTTAAGATAATAGGCATTAAATAATCTGTATTTAAAGAATGTGACAAAAAGATGCAATTGGCAATCCACTTCGGTTATTTTTTTTCTAGTATCTGTATCCCATACTAAGTGTAACTATCGGGGCAGCTGTTAGTTCAGCCCTCTCATAGAAGGACCAACAGCACCTCAGTCATTTTAACATTTGCTAAAAATGATCAAAAGCAGCTGAGAGTGAATGGCAACTGGAATGGGAATTAAAAGGAAAAGATGGGTTGCATCTAAGGGAATCATGGGCTGCCCAGGGAAGGGGTTGAGGCACCATCCCTGGAGGTGTTCAAAAGACGAGTTGACATTGTGGTGGGGGACATGGTTTAGTGATGTTTTTTTTGTCAGAGTTAGGTTGATGGTTGGACTGGATGATCTTGAAGGTCCCTTCCAACCTAATTGATTCTAAAGTGTGATTGATGCAAGCAGTTCTCGTTCTTGCTGCAAGGTCCTGCTGAAGACGGTCGGGTCTGGTGCCTGGCATCGCTTCCCAGCACCTTTTCCAGGGCTGCTGCCGCTGCTGGGAGCAGCTGTTCCCTGCAGCCCAATGTCAGGAGCCCTCAACTGCTTCATCGGACAGTTTGAAAATACCTAAAACAGTTGTGCTTTGAGGGTGAACTTCACAGAACTTAGGACGTGGTATCTCTGGTGAGGGAAATCTCCGCTGCCCTTTTTGCAGTCACTTCTGTGTAGTAATTGCAAAGGGTTTGTGTGCAAAATTAATCCAAGCCATTACTGAAGGTGATGACACGCTGTTTTCAGCATTTGTGTATTTCTTTTCCATACAATGCACTGACAGACTCGATAGGATGCTTCGGAGGAACTTGTGTTCCTCCAGTAGGTATCTCTTCTTTAGGGTCTGTGACCACTACCTAGTGTGGAGCGTGAGATAATCAACTTTTTTAAGTGATTGAGGAGGGGCAAAAAAAATGGTGGGTGGGCGGGCACAGAGGCTTCAGGGGGAAGCCCTGGGCTGTGTCGGTGTCAGGGCTATGCCTGCTGATTGACCTGGGGAGGAGTTACAAAGCTTGTCATCCACTCTCCATCTCTCTGCAGTCAGGTAATATTCACTGCATCTCATACCGGTGAGACTCATGACGAGCTTTTAATGTTATGCAAGAGTAAATCATTATCTTTGAATTGGCTGAGAGAAAGGAATTTGCAAGAGCAAAATGCAGCGGGTACCAACCAAACCTAGAGAGCTACAATGCCGCTCGGATTTTTTTTTTTTTATATATATATATATACTTTTAAATAATTCAGTCTCTGCAGAGAATGACAGCAGCTTTCAAGTTAAAGTATTGATCCACGGGTGTTCTTCTGCTCTCCAAAAGGCGCAGAGGCTTTCACATCTGTGCCTCCACTGCTCAAAGTGGCAGATCTTCAGAAAGGAGGCACGGGTGGGGATTAATGTTCTCCAGCTAATGATCGGGTGCTATCTGTCACCTGATGGCAAGAACCCAGTTCTGGGGGGCTGGGGTGACAACCCACCTTTTTGCATTTTTCCTACATATACAATCCTTAGGCAGTTTTCACATCTTTCAGTTGGCAGGAAGAGAACCTGAAGCCCGGTCACTGGAGCTGCTGTGTCCAGCTGCAGCTTTGGGCTGGAGGAGCTCAGCGCCAAGCACCAGCAGATGGGTCACCTTCACGCATGTGGTTGGTCTGTGGCTTGTAACATACCATATCATGGAATTGTCGGAGTTGGAAGGGACCTCTAGAGATCATCCAACTCCCCTGCTAAGCTGGATTGCCCAGAGCACATCACTCAGGACTGCATCCAGGTGGGTCTTGAAGATCTCCAGAGAAGGGGACTCCACACCCTCCCTGGGCAGCCTGTTCCAGGGCTCTGTCACCCTCACCAAAAATAAGTTTTTCCTCATATTTGAGTGGAACTTCCTATGTTCCAGCTTGTGCCCATTACCCCTCGTCCTATTGCTGGAAACCACTGAGAAGAGTCCGGCTTCATCCTCCTTCAACCCACCCTTTAGGTATTTGTAATACTTTCAATGTTACTGCAGTTTATCACCCAAAAATGTTGAACACAGTTTTATTAATAAAGAGATGTTTTTTTTCCCTAAACACTGTAAGAGACTAAGTGAAAATGGGTACTCTCCTCTTTGCAAGAAAGTGAGCGTACTACCTTACTCCCTAGCTTTTTTTTCTTATTTTTTTCCTGAGAACTCCACTGTCTTATAAAAACACTTTTTCCCAAAAGTCCCCTACTGATGATGAGTTTAAATTTGGAAGAGTGAGGGAACCACAGTTCCTCCTTGCATCTTTCCATCTGCTGGCCGGTCGGTGCGTGCCATGGCCCCGCTCTGACGGCCCAGCAGAGTCTGTCCAGTGAAGGCAGAGGGACCATTCCTTCTGGTCAAGAACTTAGCAATGCTAGATTAGGTCTCAAAACTCACAGAAATGAAAAAAGGGGCCATATATATCCCTTGGGATGCCTTTCTGTGTCAGGTACCAAGCTGGGATTGTGGCGTTTCGCTGAGGCTGTCACTGGTGTTTTACAGCACTCGCCGCTGTCACAGCCACTGCCTCCAGTGGGCAAACCCCACAGCGGGTCCTTCTTACCCCAGAACCTGTAGACACTGCGGAATTTGATCTTAAATAGCAAGTGTTTGGGACATCTAAATGACAGGGCTTGCCACAGCAGCCATGGCCCCGTGTTTCGGCTGCGTGTTTAGGAGCAGGAGGTGCTGGAGGCCTTGCTGCAGCTGAACTTGTTTGAGCTGCTAAGTGTTAGGTCCAAGCCTGGTGGGAGAGCATCGCTGGGATGTGGGAAGCCTTGGATTCAGGCCAAGGGGAGCTGAAGGTGCAGCTGAGGCTGAGCCACTGGGTTCCACAATGATCATAGAATCATGGAATCATCTAGGTTGGGAGGGACCTTCAAGATCATCCAGTCCAACCGTCGACCTAGCTCTGACAAAAAAAAATCACTAAATTATGTCCCCCAGCACCATGTCAACCCATCTTTTGAACACCTCCAAGGGTGGTGCCTCAATGATGGTCTGGGTCAGCCCCCTTCTGCCCTTCCACTGGAGATGCAGAGGCAGGAGTGTGAGAGTCACGGTGCTGGGCCAGGCCGGGGAGAGGGAGATTGATTTCAGCCTTGTGGGCAGGAGAGAAGTGAAATCTAACCTGCCCCTGCAGGTGTGTAGCTCTGTGGCCTGTCCCCTGCTGTGGTGGGACTGGTTTTGTGAGTGATCAGCTGGGGCGGTGGCAGCACCGAAGCCGAATGGACCCGCTGTCCCTCTGCAGGTCCTCTGAAACACCTCCTTAGTCGGCCATGGAAGGTGTGTAGGCAGGCTGGGTTCTCCATCCTTTTTCTTGCCCAATTCAAAGGACCAGGTGTTTGTCATTTTAGTGAGAGACTGCTTAAGTTAAGGGCTTAGATTTTAGCAAAATTTAAAACTGTCTGCTTTGGGCTATGATTTACACGCTGAGGGCGTTGAGCAAAATCAGTCTG